TAAAAAAAAAAAAAAAAAACCAGAAACGTAGGAACACATTATCACTCAAAATTTTGCGCTAAATGACCTTAACGTTTTAGACAAAACAATAACAATACTTCATTTATATCTTCTCACTATAGAAGGCCAAAAAAAAAGAAAAATCAGATTTTGCACTAAACAACACATAAAAAAAAAAAAAATTAAATTCCCAACCCACACAACAACACCACCCATACAAATTTAGAAAAATAATTTTATATGGAACAAAAATTAATAATCTCAAAAGTTCCGTTTTAACATACTTTAGGGGAACATCGATCATTGGGATGTCCCTTCATTTTTATCCTGGGTCTAAACACCCCCCCCCCCTCCGTTGCCTCCATAGCCTCCCTGAGCCATCCCAGACGATCTACGGTGGCCCCCCTTCCCACGCACACACACACGCCCCCCTCGGAATCCCCTTCCACGACCCACCCTCCATTGCCTCCTCCCCTTGAACTTGGACCTCTTCTTTTCCTGGCCAGCATCACTTACCTGACTGGCGCACCCTCAATTCATCCTTAGCGCACCACTGCCGCTTCTTTCCTTTCCCTTCCACACCCACACTCCTCTCCAGCTTCAGCTTCTACTAATCCTCTTCCTCTCCTGCCCATGCCCCTACTTGTCCCTCCCTTCTTGGTCAACACTCCTTCCTTTTCTCCCCTCCTGTCCGCCTGCATCTTCAGCTGCAAACAACCTCCAATCAACCATTCGACCCTCCTCCCACAAGCCAACAGAGGCACACACCAACAACGACCCAACGCCGCAACCTGTTGACCGTGATCTTTGTCGACTCCTGCCACCCATATCCAACCTTTCTTGCTTCACATCTTACTACTAGACTTTCTTGCCCGGGTCAACGTGACCAGACAAGTATCTTTGTAAGTTGTTCTTTGCACGCCTAATCCCCCTGCCTCCCCTGGCTCTCTGTGCATTGCATCTTGTTCTCTGTCCGACCATCGAGAAGCTTGCAAACTTGAACACCATCCCCCCCCCCCCGCCTCCCCCCTCGACACCGGAGCCGCCTCTGCCGCCTCTCGAAGCATATGCCTGACGCCCGGACACCACATGTACAACTCGCTGCAAGCACCCGTTCTGGTACCCGTTCATCCTGCACGAGATCACAAGCCCGACCACACGCCCGTCTCATTCAACTTTATTCAACCTTGGGGCACCTTGGAGCAGAGTGTCGCACACGACATCTTTGCTTTCTGACCCCCGGGGGGCTTTGGCATCGTTCATGCTTGCTTCTGGCCTTGTTGTTGCAGTTCCTTGTTTGGGCCTTGCCGCTCGCTTGATCCGCTCGCTGACTTTTTTCTTCGTCGTACCTCAAAGACCAAACGAGCTACACTCGTCATCCTCATCTTACATTCCTTGGATCGCCTGAGATTCTGCTCCAGAGCTCCATTCCATTTTGCCATTTCTCGCCTGGACAACTCTGGAACCTCGATTCCGCTCAAGGCATCATTTGGAGGAGGACGACGACAACGCAATTTGAGCCGGCATATCAGAGTCATGGCAAGCGAACAGGGCGCTGGCGGAGGTATTGAGAGCAATAGGAGGCACCTGTCGACCTCGACCCGTGCTAGCACCGACAACGAGCCGACCCCAGAGACAGAAACCCAAGCAGCAAACATGAAGCCTGCTCAGCAGCCCGAGAGGAGTCACAGTTCATTCCAGGCGCCGCAGGGCCTTCCGCGGGGAGTCTACCCTCCGTCTACCACCGCCACACCCACACCCACGGCAGGCCTCCCCATGTCAAGGGCAGCCTCCAGCAGTTCAAGCAACTCGAGCACACCACCCTCAACGAGCGCCGAGAGTTACTTTGGAAATGCACACACCACCAGGTCCAGGCCAGCACTTCCCTTGGAACCCCCAGTCACCAAGGCAACATTGAGCGAACTCGACGTGTCCAAGATCATTCACAATCCCAAGCTGCGTCATGATATCAACTTTGATCCCGAACTTCATTTCAGACCCAACGTGGACGGAGACAAGGGCAGGAGGAAGGAGGTCAAGGCCGAGCATTTCTGGGCTACCTTGCAAGAACAACTGATCATGTTCGTCATGGACCGTGAGGGCTTCTATGCCATCCATGGCGAGAACGACGACTGGTGCCTTCCCCAGCTTCTTCGAACCGTCAAGGATATCATCCAGACACTTGTGCCCGTGAGGGACCGAGTCTACTTGGACGAAGGCCTGAACGTGGAGCTCCTGATGCAGCAGTTTAACAAGGGTATTGCTGATCTCGAGAAGCTGGCATCCTGGCTCTCTCGCGTGCTCAAGTCTCACTGTGCTCCCATGCGCGACGAGTGGGTCGATAGGATGTACGAGAAGCTCAGCAACGGCAATCGAAACAACGACATGGGTGAACTGTTCTGGGTATGCGTGGACTTCTTGAGGTACTCGAGGCGATGGGGCTGGATGTCGCCAATCACCAGATCCG